TGGTCATGCATGAAAGTGTTTCCTACGTGTGATTTATACTTTGGCGGTGGAACCAGACATCTGCATGCCGACTATGAACTTCTTCTGCTGCTGTAGTGTCTGTATACGTTCATTGTTCCCTTGTTGGTATACGTTCATTGTTCCCTTGTCGGTATACGTTCATTGTTCCCTTGTTAGTATACGTTCATTGTGCCCTTGTTGGTATACGTTCATTGTTCCCTTGTTGGTATACGTTCATTGTTCCCATGTTGGTATACGTTCATTGTGCCCTTGTTGGTATACGTTCATTGTTCCCTTGTTGGTATACGTACATTGTTCCCTTGTTAGTATACGTTCATTGTTTCCATGTTGGTATACGTTCATTGTGCCCTTGTTGGTATACGTTCATTGTTCCCTTGTTGGTATACGTTCATTGTTCCCATGTTGGTATACGTTCATTGTTTTCTTCCTGCGTAAACACAAAACACGAGAATTTCGGAAAGTTCTCTAGGACTTATATTTATATTTCCATAGAAGTAATGTGTCCAAGTTAGGTACTATTTTGGTTGTGTAGATGACTTTGTCCCACCCTGTACAGTGTCATTTATTTATTACATTCATTTCTGAATAACACAAGAAAAATAATGTAGAACGAATTAAGACTTTCATCCATGGGATTTAATGATTTTTGTAAAATTCTTGGTAATGTTAAGCAATAAAAAAAAACACCTATTATATAAGGGAACACTAATCCGATATATTTATAAATAATAATAATAATTTGCTGTCATGTCTTATGCTGCAATAACGCTGCCCATGAAACATTTTTAATTTTTCCTTTTTCTCGAAAAGGGTCTAATAAGTATGTGCTCAATACAATTTTATTCTTTTAAATAAATACTCAGTGCAATTTAAAATTAATTATGTCCCATTTTACTACTGGTTTTACTGGATGTTTTTTTTCTTTTAGGAAGAAAGCAACATAGTAACAAGACACACGTGCGGCCAATACAACCTTCAGGACACACTGTATGCTATTAACAGAAGTGATAGTTTAGCGATTTTTCACATTCTATGCCTCAGAATTTGGTAATCGAAACTATCACATCTTCTCAGTGAATGTGCACTACTAGACCCTTACGTCACATACCAAATTTCAAGGCAATCCATTAAGGGATACCTGAGATATAAAATCTCCAACTTTGATTGAATTTTTCTCTTCGGTACAAAATCACGGAAATTTTATTTGATAGAAAAACATTATTAACTTTTATGGATTTTTTTAAATTTGGTACACTGATAGATCTTGACAACCTACAATTAAGTATCAAATTTGGTCTAAATATAAGCAACATGTGCAAAGTTATTCAACAAAAACCGCTCAAATTTGATCGAAATTTCTGCGTACGCCTTCGCGAAACGTCATGTGAGATATCGCTCTAAATGTTTTACTGCAGCGTCACATATGAGTAAAAGTGGACCATTTTTAGTTTTTATGATTCGGAATAAAGACGGTTGATTTAAAATAGCAAAACTATAGGGTGAAAGGACGTGCACATACGTATGTATTGCATGGTTAGGTCAATCAAACGAGATTAGGAGTTTCTAGCTCAAGTTTTCAACATAATCATAATGGTGGACGGTTATGACTGATTCTTTGTTGCCAACTTTTAAGCACAAATTTGCTAAATTTTATGAAATTCGCCTAAATAAAGAACGTTTAGCATCACATGATATTAGCTTCATCAATTACCGTAAATTACTGCGTACATGTGGGTGATGACAAAATACTGTTAATGGAGATTCCATGGCGTTACTATAAAGGAAGTTATTAACACTGTTTTAGAGAAAATAATTAGCGTTGTATATCCTAAAGAATCTGGTTGGATCTGTGAAGTATAGGTCTGTTTCGAATAATAGAGTTGCAATCCTAAAGCTAATGCTGGTTACTATCGAGTGTCACGTTCTTACTTGCTGTTGTTTATTTGTGTGTATTGACAAAAATTCATGATACATAATCAAAAATAGCTTAAGTGTGAAACAAATGTGCGGCAAAAAAAAAAGGAGAATTCAGCGTGTGACTTAAAGGAATGAAGTCAAACTTGGCGGCCAAACTGTTAACTACACTTATAGCATTGATAAGAATTTTACAGCAAATATTCATTCATTAGTTAGCTAGGCCGCGTATTTTGTTCCACTTGGGGCATAATGATGGGTAAAACAAAACAAAATACGCGGTAGGCGATTTTATAAATGCTAGTTTTGAACATTTTTCTTTTACAGTATTCTAGAATGTCACAAGAACAAGTGCTTAGGTTTGTACTAGGGTAATACAGTAATAGTGTATGGTCATAAAAGATGTTTCTTCATTTCATTGAAGTGTTTTACTTACACTCGTAACTTAAAAAAACTTATTTTTTATTTTATAATTTAATGGAAAATCAATTTTCGAATTGATAAAAGAACGCATTACTTGTTTTCCTTGAGGAAAAGGAAAGCTACTGCGAGTTGTGGGGTTATTAACAGCGTCTTGTCTGTCATATTTTAAACTTTCCTTTCAGGAAAACATTATTTCATATTTTACTGAACAAACTCTTGAGTAAATACGAAATTTGAACATTCTCCTTTATTAAAGAAGTTAATAATTGTTGGCCCGAAATATTTTTATCACTTTTTAATGACCATTATTTAATTACTATTTCACTGTCGGTTTCATTGAAAAAAAGTAATTCATTTATGAAAGTAAAAAGGTTGATGACATTTCAGTATAAGGTTTCATCTTTTAGTTCAATTCAATTCTGTTCTTCTAAAAGATTCGTAATCAATTGGGTAAACAGGGGAATATTACAATGTCTATAGAACTTTGTTAACATGTGGATCTTTCCCTAAATAGGCTTTCATGCAATGATGTGTGTTTGAGTAACAATGATATGTGTGGATTAATACGATTACTTGATAACCAAATCCTCAATGTTCTTCGTGTAGAAATTACGTTTTCTCATTCGATTGATAACTTCTAGGAACTAATATAATAGGATTTACTAAGTAATTACTACACAATGTTCAAAAGGTTAAAACGCAAAATCTAGGCTTGGTTGTATGTCTTTCTTTTAGCATTTTTTGGAAGTGTTTGGGACTTCTTTTCCATATAATTCCTGTCAGATTCGACGCAGCCAATATATCTTAGTGTATCTTAAAACATTAGTTTTGGAATAATTTCATTTCATGAAGTATGAAATAGCTTTACTATTTAAGCCTCTAACACTTTTTATTCATCAAGAGAGAAAAATAAAGTCAATCTTAAAAGTAGATATCTGTTTACAAGAAAATCCTATATAGAATATTTTTTTTTTATAGAAAGTAGATCTGTACGTCCCTTACTGGGACGCATGAGCAAACCCCCAATAGGTTTCACGCTGACCACTCTGGGAATATTACAAATCCAGTTATATGGCTTATTTTGCTCATTAGTTGCTTAGTAATTAGAGCTACACAGCCAGACAAAGAGAGAGCTCAACTAGATCAATGAGTTTATAGCGGAAATGGAACAAAATATGTGCATTATGAAGGGTGAAATTGGCAGTTACAAGAAGTTTATAATAAGTATATATTTTGTACTTAGAAAACGTACCCCATTTGTAAGCCGTAAATATAATAAGGTTGGGAAAGATTCGTATTCTATATATTATGAAAGGTAAATTATCTTAAAGTGCTATATTTGGAAAGTACAGGGAGATCTAACATATATTAGTAACAAATATCAGATCGTCGACTTGCTGTATTGTTGTTGAGACTCTTTATAGTTTCTGTTTTCTTTACCCTTTATTCATATTGCTATAAGTTACGAAACCGAATAGCTCAGTAAGCTTTAAAATAACCACATCAAAACTTGCCGGTGTTTGTCGTCCCATATATTAAAAATATTCAGTATTTGCCTTTTTCATTATAATAACACATATGTATGAAACGAATTCTTTCACAAGGTAGAAACTCTGCACAGTTCCAGAAATAACATTCGCAACATATTACATTCCTGTTGATGAGGGCCCGACATGGCCAGGTGGTTAAGGCTCTTGACTCGCAATCCGAGGGTCGCGGTTTCGAATCACCGTTACACCAAACATGCTCGCCATTTCAGCCGTGGGGTGTTATAATGTGATGATCAATCCCACTATTCGTTTGTAAAAGAGTAGCCCAAGAGTTGGCGGTGGGTGGTGATGACTAGCTGCCTTGTTTGTTTCATATTTTAGTTTGATACTGCGAAAATCAAATCATTGTGCTGCAGGGGTTGCTCTAGCTGACTGCCTTTCTATTCTAGAATATAATATATTCAAATCATTGTGCTGCAGGGGTTGCTCTAGCTGACTGCCTTTCTATTCTAGAATATAATATATTAGCTTGAAAATTGTATGAATCATTCGAGCCACCTCGTACTTAATTAGTAGTAATAGGAATCAGGTCGAACAATTCCTTACACTATTTCAGAGGTTACCGTACTCAACTAAAACTGTTATTATAAGCATACAACTAAAAATGTTAAGTACAAATAACCTCAATGCAAAGAGAAGTTTAGGTTACTAAACGGTAAACAGTACGGAACTGAGAGCTTATGTAGGAAACGATTCTGATTTATATGAAAGTACAAGTTTTTCTATTTTAGGAGAAAAACATTTAAATTTCAAAATCATCTTTGCTTACTGAAAACATGTATTTGTTTTCTTGCATGTTTTCGGACCAGCTGTTACATGTTTTCCTTCGTCGAAGGGAATTACCACGACTCACAAATCAATATTGCTAAGAATGCCTAGAAAATGAATTCTAACATATCATAATTTCGAGTATTCGCCTCCCTTTAAAAACAGACTATGTTGTCTTTTAACGCCCTCTTCCGGAATTTATGTAGGAAATATCTAAGTATCGATCGAGAAGTACTCCTTGTAGTAGAACAGCTTGAGGACTTGATCATTCGGTGTCCAAACCACACGACGTCACTAATGGTTTCTAAAGAACACTTATGGCAATCAGTCCTTCTGAACAATCATCCTGGGTCTACTGAAAATTCTTATCTTATTAAATGTTCTTAGAAGTTTGTTTAGGGTAATGGGACAATTTTCCGAGGCGTGACTTTTTGCTGAAACGCTTTTACAAAAGTTCTCGTTGTTTATTAAACAAATCATGACAAAACAAGTTTATTTGATACTGACTTTATTTTGGTTTCTTGAAGTTAAGGCTGAATTTGAACAAAGTCCAGCAAATAAGGAGAAACCTTACGGTGAGTAGGAATATATGTATTTTATTTGGAATTTTTATTATATAAATGTATTAAGTTTGAATTATATAATCGCTCTGAATATCTTAGTGGGTTTTGGGTTAAAACATACTGCGTATGTTGTATGTACATAAAAATAATTTTGTGGGCTTATGATAACATAAGTTTACAAACTTATAAAGCTGAAACTTCCCGCCATTGAAGCTTATTTCTTATTGAAATAGTTTCAGTTATTCTAAGAAATCAGACGTTTTGGTGTACTTTGTTCAAAATAAAGAAACGAACGGGCTTACACTGGATTTGAATTATGGTACATTCAAAGAAACCAGCGAGCTTTTTCAGGGTTTAAATCAATTTATGCTCAAGGAAACTTAGTGGTTGATACAGTGTTTACTTAGGACATATATATATATATAAAGAAACGAACTGGTTTATACAGTGTTTGCTTAGGACATATTTAAATAAACTAATGGGTTTATACAGTGTTTACTTAGGAAACATATATAGAGAAATGAACTAGTTTATACAGTGTTTATTTAGGACACATATATATATAGAAATGAACTAGTTTATACAATGTTTACTTAGGACACATATATATAGAACTGAACTGATTTATACAGTGTTTACTTAGTACATGTATATATAAAGAAACGAACTGGTTTATACAGTGTTTTCTTAGGACACATATATATAGAAATGAACTGGTTTATACAGTGTTTATTTAGGACACATATATATAGAACTGAATTGGTTTATACAGTGTTTACTTAGTACATGTATATATAAAGAAACGAACTGGTTTATACAGTGTTTACTTAGGATATATATATAAACAAACTGGTTTATACAGTGTTTACTTAGAACATGTTTAAAGAAACTAATGGGTTTATACAGTGTTTACTTAGGACATATATAAAGAAACTAACTGATTTATACAGTGTTTACTTAGGACATATTTAAAGAAACTAACTGGTTTATGCAGCGTATATTTAAATAAACGAACGGGTTTACATATGATTTATGTTACCTCATATTTAAATGAACAAATGGGTTTATACCAGGTGTAACTTACGGTATTTTGAAAGAAATGAAAGGGATTTTACAGGGTTTCACGTAGGACACATTTATATAAACAAATGGGCTTATGTCGGGTTAAAGTACATTTATAGAATCGAACGGGTTTATATCGAGTTCAAGTTATGTATATATAAACAAACGAATGTGCTTATATCGAGTTAACGAATATTTAAAGAGACGAATGGGTTTATATCGGGTTGAAGTTAAGTATATTTAAAGAAACGAATTGGTTTAAATCGGGTCAATGTTGGCGTTTGTATAAAGAAATGTACGGCTTATACGAGCATAAATGAATGTAGATTTGAAGAACCGAAAGAGCTTATGTAGATGTAATTAAATAATCGTAAGTTTATAGTGGATTTCCATTAACCTATATTTAAAGAATGGGTTTAATATACTGGTTTCTAATGTAACTACTGCTGACTCCAATGGAAACTGAACATCACTAGCTCTTAATCTATTAATTACCTGTAATTTTGTCAAAACTAACCATTTCGTTTACCGAATTGCCTTCTGCAAATGGAGAATTTAAGTGATTATTGCATATTCTGATTGACACTAGCCACTTTCAATTATCATTTTAATTGTTAGATTCTTATTCTGAACAAAACTTCCTAAAAATAAGATATTTCTGATGAAATGTTGTTTATGATGTAGACAGCGAAGAAACAACTCATTATTCAACTGTTTTCAGCGCAATTTTTGTAATATTGAACAAAATGGTTAACATGGAACATAAAACATTTCAATATTAATTCGTACTAGCAATTTCAGGTTAACATATAAGTCGATAATTGAATTCACCACACGCTTCTGTTTTTGAGAAGACTCGAGCTTTATGAATGTTTTTAGTTTTAGTTGTTTTTGTTTTTCTGAAGCGCCATCAGATAATACACACTACGCCTTGAGTTGTGATCAGCTGGATTTTTATAAGTATGATGGATGAACTCCTTCTTCTTCCGATCTAAAATAGAAAAACAACAACAACAACAAAAAAAAACAACTGGTTACTCAGCTAAAACTGTGGAAACTTTCTGGTTTGTTTTTATCATTTTTGTCGTTATACATGGTGTGACATATTTTATTTTATTACGAGGTGAAGAAGATAGAGATTTCTAGTTAAGTATGATAAGGAAAGTAACATTTATAATTCACATTCACTTTGTGTATCATTCAATAGCTGAGAGCTAAGCTGAAGTAAACTATACTGCTTTCTAATGTATACAAGAAGTTCCATATTAAGATATTAAAGGAAATAAAAATTTTCCTTTAACGTACAAAACACAAACTTGTATTTTTTCTCACGATGTTTGGAGAAATTTAATAGCATAGTTTGGCCTTCTTATACGTTATTGATTGGTAGCATTTGTTTTCAGTCCCCCACTGAGTCAACGGTAAGTTTACGGAGTTATAACGCTACAATTTGGGGCTCAATTCCCCGTGGTAGACAGAGCACAAATAACCTTTTTTTTTGCAGCTTTGCGCTAAAACAAATACAACTTATTTTTAACATATTTATATATTTCTAAACACTCGATCGTAGATCTCTGCAGGTATTTTAAACCTATTCTTTACTGATTTAATTTTTATACTGATCGCTTGGGGCTTATTAAACAAACATATTCATTAGACTGGTTACTTTAATAAATACTTCAGTATGAAACAAAAGCTGAATTTGCTTGGCACAACTTGAGTGAACGACTGGTTTTTGTATTATTAGTTTTGCGAGTGTGTACTTTACAGTAGCGTAAGGTAAATTTCTTTGTTACACACTGTGCACACTAATAATTTCAAGAAAACAACTCTTGTAAGCTATACAAAGCAATTTTTTAAAACTGCTCTGGAAATGTTAATACATAATCTGCCCTCCAGTACCACAGCGGAATGTCTGCGGACTTACAACGCTAGAAACCGGGCAGAACACAGATAGCCCATTGTGTAGCTTTATGCTTAATTCAAACAAACAAACAATAAATAATACCACCTTTAGAGCAGGGGATTTTAAGCATAATGGTTCCCTTTGAAGTCGAATGACCCCTTTAAATGATTATATATATATTACAATGCTCGATATTCCGGGGACATGGTAGTGATTTCAACCAAATTAGAAGTATAGAGTAACATTGTCGTGACTCGAAATACAGGACCAAGTCTGGGCAAATTCTGTGGTTAGTGATTTCAACCAAATTAGAAGTACAGAGTAACATTGTCGTGACTCGAAATACAGGACCAAGTCTGGGCAAATTCTGTGGTTAGTGATTTCAACCAAATTAGAAGTATAGAGTAACATTGTCGTGACTCGAAATACAGGACCAAGTCTGGGCAAATTCTGTGGTTTTGTCACAGCTGATTAAATACTGGAATAAATGTTTCTGAATGGATTAAACATACATCATACTAAAAACAGCAGATTTATAGATGAGAAATAAGCAGCCAAAAAAAAGTGACGAAATTGTATTAATCTGAAGAGGGTTTACAACTCTAGCACAAATATTAATGTTTTCTATGAACGTTGTTTTGGTAATTTTAATTATGAATTGCTCTCCTCAGCCACTTGAATAAAACTGATGACATAAAGGTCATATATACTTACATAAATAGGCAAGTTAAAATAAAGGGGTCAGCGTAACGCGTAATATAAAAAAGTTATATAAAATGACAAACTCTGTAAAGATTTATTATAAAAAACGGATAAGTTATATACAAAAAGATGGCACTTTGTATTCAACTGGAGAAAAATAGTAGGAAAACTAAAATAATAAAAATACTTGGTATTAAGAAAAGTCCGAACCTATTCTATTCTTTCCCAATATACATATATATATGTTTTGTGTGTGTGTGTGTGTCCGTGGGGTGGGGCTATTGGAATTTTGTGTATTGAGAACAATATGATTTCATCTTAGAGATTTCAAGTTGTTTTTGTTATTTGTTATTTACCTTTTGTATCACCCGATTGCCAAAACTAGACTATAATAGTTGCAAGGTTCCATAGTTTGAGTACGTTATATTAAAACTATTTTGAATATGTAAATGTCACGCACCAAGCACAACCGATATAAAGTTGTGGTGGAATAGAATATATAAAAACTACATTTTGATATTTTTTTTAGTGTTTCGCTCTTGAAAAGGGTTTGTATGTAACTGCGCTTTCTGACGCAAAATATTCACATGCTCAGGTCATACAGTTATAGCCTTTGCAATTGATTTCATTGGAAAAAGAAAATAATATGGATTATCTTGGGGAACCAAGACCACCTAGAAAGAGACTTACATACCACAGCAGTAGAAAGTAAAGTTCGACGTCATGGAAAAGGTGAGAATCCACAAACATAATGGTAATATCATTGGTAAAGGCTTTCCACGCACCTCAGGCAACACTACACAACATCATCAAGGAGGTTTTCTCATCTGGAAAAGCTACACGCGTTTCGGGTACACAAGCTGCTTCCATGACATATATCAAGCAACCGGAGAATGGAACTGGCACTTACACTATTCCATTCTACGACATACTGGTCAAGTCGCTGGACGAAGAAACTGTGGATTTCCGTGCGATATGACTGTTGAAACAGGCACTGAGAAACCGTCGTCCTCGTACATTTAATGGGTTGTGGAAAGGATGCTGTGAGGAGGGTGTCCTTTGAACATGACAGCACTTCAAAGGGGTATTTTGTAATAAAAACTACGCTGCAGAGCCATTGCCATTATGTACGGTGGAACATACGCCATACCTAACATCTGTATATTCTTTAACACGGGCTTGTACTCTTGCTTTAGTTCTTTAGAATGTTTTTATTTCCTTTATTTGGTTTATCAGTTCTTTGTCAACTAAAATACCTTATTCAATTGCTGTTAAAGTATTTAAGAAATAAACCTTTAGGGATTTTTATGCTCAGTACAAGTGAAATTATTTAAAGAGCTTA